TAACGATAAGAGCGCTTTACTGGCGATACCGGGGAGAAATGGACAGTCACAAGTCGCAAAACTAGGTAGTATCCCTCATAGTGATCAAATTATCAGAATTGAACGCCGGCCTGTAGTCAATATCCTCCTTTACTTCGGTCTTATTGAGCCGATTGACGATTTCGTTGATCCGTTTCGCTACTACACATCGCTTCACTTTCTTGTGGTCATGGAATCCGATCTGAAAGCACACATAACATTTTAGCGGAGGGAACACCTTGGCACACGGTTTCAATGCAAGCCATGGACCATTAATCGAACCGGCAGGTAGGTCCTGCTTAACCGGGCACCATTTTTTGCCCTCCACAATCAATAAACTAGTAAGAGTTTCGGGGAGTAATCAAGCACCATCGCGCGAGGTATCAAGCTCCTTCGAATGAGCCATATTCAAGAATTGGTATACCGAATAGTGGCACCACCTCGCATACGTCGAGTGATCAAATCCCAAATTGATCGCCCAGGCCAAACAAGCCTTCCTTGCGGATTTCTTCTGGTTTTTATCAGACTCGCCTTTACTGGTCCTCGTTAGTCATTGTATTGGTTAAGTACACATGCAAATACAACGATTTTGATAATATGTAGAATGCATGGACGCAGCCCAACCAAGGATAGATCACCATCAAAAAACTTTTCTTTGCATTTCTATTCGACGATATGCTGCTGGGATCTGCCTAACCATATGAGTAGTACCAGCTCAAATAACTCTAAGAATGACAAAGAAGCCTTACAGCTAGGTTTGACAGCTGCCTGTGAAAAATGCAAACTTCTTTGGAATTTCAACCGTTACTTACCTGGCCCACCGCCATATCACCAGTTTTCTTCAAATTCTCCCACATTGTGTATACAATACCAACATCATGCATCTTGTTTCCTTCTATGGAATTAGCTTTCACAAGTTGGCAACAATCGTCAATCTAGGCAAAAATTTATTTCGCTCTTACTACTGTAAAATAGCCAAACTTTGACATGAACAAAAATCAAAGTGCTGAATAAAATCTCATACTCACCAATGCCTGCGGTATCGTGTCGATAGTCATACCCTTTGGTAACCGTAAATAAACGTGAGCTGAAGAAACCTTGTCAACGTGAAACCATACATCTTCTGGCCATCCATACTAAAATGTAGTAGCAATGCAAAAGATACGCAGGTAGTGTTTGACGTGGGATAATCGAGTTTAATGGAAAAGGATAAAAAATCAAAAAAAAAATTAAAAATCAAAGAGTGTAATAGGATGCACCCTGAGTGAATTTGAAAATAAAATAAAATAAAAAGGGATAGTCGAGTTTAAGCGAAGAAAATAAAAAGTCAAAAAAATGGAAATTCAAAAATTTCACTACTCACCTTTATAAGCTCCTCGTTCTCGTACTTATCTACACCCATATACAGAAGAGCCGGTGGGCTGACGACGTTAGATGTGAACTTTATTACCATGAGTCACTGGTAACCTGTGTAGGTAAATACAGAATCAATCACATATTATAGAGCATATAGACAAGCTCTACATAACCGTAAAATGGCCAAATGACTGCCTTCAATTAAAAAAAATAAAATAAGAAAAGAATAGAATAAGATAAGAAAAAAAGGCGCCGTCAGAATTATGGTGCCGTCCACAATATTAGCATTGACGCGAACAACTCATCAAATGTGGGATCGCACAAAGAGAGTTGGCTGAGAGCTGAAGAGTTGTGGTGAAAGAAATAGCGCAAGACCAATGCTCGCGAACTTGGTGGTGATTATAACCAATATTCAGTATTGTTATCGTTATTTTAAAACTTATATTGCACTTATTACTTGATTCTCCGGATGACCCCTTTCAGATTCCCAGTAGAAATCGCAAAAGACAAATAATGAGTAGGAATGTGAGCGAAGTTCGTAGCTGCCAGATGATCATATAGGAAATCGCCAATATGTATAACATTACCTAGTGTTCTAAGGGAATATTGTTTATATATATATATATATA